CATGCTAGTTTTCATCCGTAGTCCCTAGCCAAGCAGCAGTATGTTTACATCTGTGCATTAGCAGCAGTATGTTTACATCTGTACATTAGCAGCAGTATGTTTACATCTGTACGTTGGCAGCAGTATGTTTACATCTGTACATTAGCAGCAGTATGTTTACATCTGTACATTAGCAGCAGTATGTTTACATCTGTACATTAGCAGCAGTATGTTTACATCTGTATATTAGCAGCAGTATGTTTACATCTGTACATTAGCAGCAGTATGTTTACATCTGTATATTAGCAGCAGTATGTTTACATCTGTACATTAGCAGCAGTATGTTTACATCTGTACATTAGCAGCAGTATGTTTACATCTGTACATTAGCAGCAGTATGTTTACATCTGTACATTAGCAGCAGTATGTTTACATCTGTATATTAGCAGCAGTATGTTTACATCTGTACATTAGCAGCAGTATGTTTACATCTGTATATTAGCAGCAGTATGTTTACATACTAAAGTGACAGTGACACAAGTAAGTAAGTAGTTATTTATTTAGGCCTTTCAAAGCCCAGAGTCACAAAATCTTTAACAATTGCAAACATTTTCTCCTTTAAGACCACGTTCAAGAGTCAAAATGACCACAATGCATCATTTTTGTCCTGTGCTATCACCAGAGCACAACTTGTTCTGGCAACTCAGGTAAAAGTGACGCGGTTCTGTGGTTTTCGCTCCGCTCTGTTGGCCTCTATCGGTCTCTATTGGTCTCTATTGGGCTCTGGCTGAAGCTGGTCATTACAAAAGCCTCTTTGTGCTGAGAGCGAGCGGACTGCAGCCGTTTGGGAAACACAGGCAGCAGCAGAGTGAGCGGACGGCAGAGGCACGGCTCATGAAAAGGACCTCAGTGTTGAACAAGCCTCTTCAGACCCTCCAAAATGATCCATGTCGCCAAACTAGTGACGGCCTGCTTGGTCCTGGGTGAGTCCTTCTGTGATTTTGGTGCTGTTTGTAAACAGGATGGAGGAGGTTATTTAGATATCACTGTTACTGATTTGGAAGTGGCTGCTCTGTTTCTGTTGTTGTTAATTGTAAAAGTCTTTGGGTGAACTTGGTCTGTACAATGGGATAAATAACTAAAGATAGCTTACTTACTTACTTTCTTACCTACTTTCTTTCTTACTTTCTTACTAGCTTACTTACTTACTAGCTTACTTACTTACTTTCTTTTCTTACTTTCTTATTTTTTTATTTTTTTATTTGACAGGGACAATGTAGTCATACATAACATTATGAAAAATGCAGCTGATGCGACACATACAGAGTGTATAGCTAATGCTAATTTTAAACTCCTGTGCCTGGTTTAGCTTTTCCCTACAGTGCAACACATTATACAGAATGAGTAAAATAGACCTAACCCTGTAATCAGCTTTTTCCGTACAAGGCACTAAAGCCTGGAACTGTTTACCCACTGACCTGAAGGGAGAGTCAAACTGGGTCCCTTTCAAACACGAACTTAAAGACTCTTTAATCAGAGGTCAGAAATGTGACCACTGACCGTCTGCTCTGTTGTGTTTGTGTTGTACTGTATTATGATATGTGTTTTAATTATGTTTTAACCATGTATTGTTTAATTTTTATGTAAAGGCCCAACTAGGGACGGACATTGAGAATTAGCTTTGGCTAAAATGTTGTAGTATGTAACATGTGCTTATGTGACATACTTGTCCCTATTCAAATAAACTTAGATAAAAAATAAATAAAAATAAGATATATTTACAACAGTGATCTAACAATAAGACATTCCCCCCACCAATGACAGCCGTACGGACAATACACATTCGCAATCAAGAACACACACGCTCACGTGCACAGTACTTTATACACAATACTATTATTTACAGGTTCAAAAATGGGTGCATGTTTGGTTTGTTTTAAGTACTGCCTTACTTTCTTACTATCTTGTTTACTTAATTTTTGACCATTTGTTTTCTTGGTTTGGTATGTTTTGCCTTCATAAGTTATCTCTGGGTGGTTTCCATGTGTTCTTTGTACGTCATATCAGTCAATACTACATTTCAAACTCTATTTCAATACTAGTAAAAATACTGTATATAATTCTAATACCACAGAGATTATCCTGCTGGGATTTTGAGTTTTCAAGGACAGTGATGATCCAGGACATTAATGGATATTTGCAGACGTGGATAATCTTGCTTCCCAATGGATACTTTTTTTTGTTTTTTAGTATTGTATTTTCTGTCTTATATTATTTGTGAATGCACAATTTAGGGCTATTTTGGAAATATTTGGAAGTGATTTTAACTTGACAATAATGTTTTTCATGAAGCCACATGCACAATTTTGTCCTGTTTGTGTGATTTTATTCAATAACAATACTAGTTAGAAGTAGTTTGCACATCAGATTTAGTCTCTTAATATCTTTTGATTTTCCTCAATATTGTTGACTATCCTAATTTTTATTTTAGCATCAAAATGGTTAAATCTCTGTTGAGGAGTGATCCATCATAGAGGCAAAGGTGTAGACCAATCATTGAGAATAATGTTAAGGTCAAGGTATACTTTATTGATACCCATAAGGCATTAGGGGGGCCCATCTCCAGGAGTTGAAGGTATGACCTATTTTACATGGTTTTAGGGATTACCGTAGCACGTGGAGGAAACCAGACACAGGTACATGAAAACTACACTCCAAACCATGATTGTCTTACTGAGGTCTTTCTGAGGTCTTTCTGAGGTCTCTCTGAGGTCTCTCTGAGGTCTCTCTGAGGTCTCTCTGAGGTCTCTCTGAGGTCTCTCTGAGGTCTTTCTGAGGTCTTTCTGAGGTCTTGCTGGTTCTTTATGACCCAGACTCTGAATCTATGACTCTTCTAGTGCCTGGGGAAAGCCATGTTCCAGCTTCTTCCCTCTGGCAGTAGATTATATAGTTTGTTGAGACGTAGGACATCTCGTTTTCCTAACAGCTTCTTTCCACAACCTGTGATCAGTCCCGACAAAGAACTTTAATGATCTGTGGATTGAATTCACTCTGACTCTTGTTTCTTGTACTTTTTTAGCTTCTTAGTTTTATTTATGTACTTGTCTGGTGCACACTGGGGACCTTTGCACATGTATTCCAATGTGGTTTTACTGCAAATGGCAAATAAACTGACTCTGAGAAGGTCTTGGGTTCTGGTGAGAAGGCTAACCACTCTGCCACAGTCTAACCCTAACCCTTTTTTATATATTTTTGCCTTTCATATGATATCTTTGGATAGTTGCCTGTGTGCGTTGTATGTAATTTCAGACTGTGGCAGACTCTTGTATTGAAAACCAATACTTGGTCTGGGCTAATCCAATCCTCTCTTGTAGTTTGTCTGCTGCAGGATTGACCGTTCGTCCCCGTTCGCTCAGTTCGAGTTTCCTCCGCCGTGATTGGTTCAATGAGTTCAGCGTTTCTTTTATTTGCCGTTTGATTAGAAGTCCCGCAATGCATTGCGGGCTTCTCCCACATGTCAGAGGTGAGCGGTGTCTCCCGGCAACGCTTCCGGAACGGTGTTGGTTCGTGGGCCCCTGGCTGTTCATGGAGATGAGCCTGGAGCTACAGTAATGTTTCATGTGTTTTACTGCGATACAAAAGTCAGCTGTCATTTTACAGTTGATTTGGAAAAAGGAAGAACATGATAATAGCATGTGCACTGCAAAAAAGGTATGGAAAATAAGTCCATAAAGCGTCAAAATTGGCAAAATGTGTCTTAATTTGAGCATATTTCTGACTGCTTTAAAACAAGATTAGCCAATGGGACGAAGCAAAAGGATCTAATTTTTAAAAAGATACTAGAAATGTCTCGCTTTGAATGAGAAATAAGAACAGTTATTGAAATAAGACTAAATGGGCTTTGTCCCATTAGAGAATCTTGTTTTAATGTGTCAGATTAAGATAAAAAACACTTGATTCACTTGATTTTTATGGTGCCTGCTGCTGCTTCTTATTCTTATCCCAGGAGATGGTCATATTGAAAAATGTGTCTTTGACCCAAGAAAGAATGTAGACGTGAAATACATGAATGCATTATATCGAAAATGTAAGAAAGACATTGGGGTAGGAGAATAGAACAATAAATTTACTCCAAGAACAATAGACTCATACCATAGACTAGCCCTCTACAACCCGCCCTAATTAGACAGATAATACTATTGTCTCTCGCTGGACCAGTGCCAGCTCTGTTTGTTCATAATAATGTCCTCACACTGAATGCTCTGATCAGAAATGTTATTTATAAGTTCATGAAATGCTGCGAGGACTAAATGTAAGAATGAATGTTTGTACTTCTCATGTACAGTAGATCAGAGTCACAAAGCGGTTTACAATTGTTATTTTTGGGCATTTGTCTCTCACTCCACACAGAGATAGGAACAGGGGCGCCAGTACAGGAGGCACATGCCAGATCTATTGTGCATGTTTTTTTTAGTGGTAGGGGAAACCGGAGGAAACCTACGCAGACACGGGGAGAACATGCAAACTTCATTCAGAAAGGCCCTGAGCCAACCGGGATTCGAACCCAGGACTTTCTTGCTGAGAGGCGTTAGACAGGTCTAAACTCTGGAGGCATTGGAGAAACTGTCTTTATAGAATTTTGGACATTGGATGTTTGGATGTTGTTTGTTTCTTTTTTGGTTGCGTTTGTTTTGTATGGACCCTTTGTGTGTCTGAAAATTGAATAAATAAAAAATATGTATATCTATCTCTGTATCTATCTTTGTATCTATACAGTATGTGTCTATGTGTCTATACAGTATGTATCTATCTACAGTATGTATCTATGTACAGTATGTATCTATCTCTGCATCTCTACAGTATGTATCTCTCTGTATCTATACAGTATGTATCTATCCATCTCTGTATCTAGCTCTCTGTATCTTCCCTGGAGGTGTAGAAAGTCTTTTGTCCTGTACCTCAGTCTCTTCCGTCATTAAGAGTCTGTTGTTTATCCTCTCCTCTTCTTCATCTGTCCCCAGTTAACCTGATGCCCAGTGCTTCGGGGCTGGAGACGCACCAGCACCAGGCAGACGGAGCTGCTGCCAATCAGGGGAAAAGCCGAAAGAGAGTGTTCCCAGCTCCTGCATCCCAAACAGAGGAGCCAGGACCGCTGTCTGAGGCCTACGGCTACTGCAACACCCCCAACCGCACTGAGCAGGCCTGGGAAGGTGACCAGCTATTCACCATGTTATACAATGACATTATGTTGAAGGAAAAACTGGGAAACCACCTTAGTCTAATGAATTGAATGAATTAGAATCCCATTTGGACTAGAAATGTATCCACTTATGTTGTTCTAAAATTCCCACTTCCTGACCAATTCCCTGCACTGTCATTAAACAAACTGCTACAGCTAAATTTGAAGTCAATATCAAATGCCATGAGGCGTTTTCTTACTGCAGACTTGTGTATTTTGACTTGTGTTGAAATGCTAGGTCAATAATGGGAGAGATAGGTGTGTCGTTTGGGTCCGTGTCACTTTAGTGAGTGGAGTAACCATTACCTAGTTACCATCTCATAGTTACCAGCTCTTAGTTACCATTTCCTAGTTACCATCTGCTAGTTATGGTCTCTTAGTTACCATCGCCTGGTTACCATTTCCTAGTTACCATTTTCTAGTTGCCATTTCCTAGTTGCCATTTCCTAGTTACCATCTCTTAGTTACCATCTTCTAGTTACCATTTCCTAGTTACCATCTCCTAGTTACCATCTCTTAGTTACCATCTCCTAGTTACCGTCTCCTAGTTACCATCTCCTGGTTACCGTCTCCTAGTTACCATCTCTTAGTTACCGTCTCCTAGTTACTATTGATATGGACACACTAGAAAATTCAGTGTTTATTTTTATTTATTTATTTTAGTTTCAGCTTCTTTCAGTTTCTAGCAATATTTGTACGTACCTGTGATTGGCATTTCACTGATAACTGGTAAATTTTTGGTCTTTATCCAACATGAAGTCTGTGGGCTTGATGTCAAAGCAGTAGCTGTAGTAATTGTAGTAATTAAATCCTACAGACGGAAGTATTTACTGAATACTTACATGAGTTTTTTGGTCCACACTGTGAATGAATGCTTAAAATAGCAGTAATAATCAGATGAACTGTGTCACGGCCTCTGGGAGAAAAAGCGAATAAGATTTTCTGCAGATTACATCATTGACAAAACTGCTGCTTTTCCAAAACAGTTTTTCTTTCCCATGAAACGCCGGAGGCTTTCAAATAAACCGCCTCCTCACTCCGTGCTCAGGAGGGTCTCTCATTATCTCTGTTTCTGGCATTTCTCAGTCTCTTCTTGACAGAAAATAACTTGCAGATGACAAATGATTACTTGTTTATCCACTTCAACAGCTCTACACTAATCATCCTTTTCTATGGTGCTCGTTAGCCTGGTCTTAACACACCATCGTTAGCCTGGTCTTAACACACCATCGTTAGCCTGGTCTTACCACACCATTGTACTTATTTAATTTTGTACTACGGTCTGGATTTGCTCCATTCATTAACAGGTGGGAGGGGTTAACGTCTCAGTCACTTACCGTGATGTATGTAATGGGCCAGGGTGAGTGAAACATTTAGCATTTAGCCTAGCTTTAGCCATCTCCTTTGCCACTAACGGAGCCCGTGGAGAGTAGAGCCACAACATCTTTGCATCAATGACATTTACTAAACATTCCTCTTGCTCCGGCTTCAGTTTTTTTATATTTGGATTGAACCAGAACAGATTATTTTACTATCGCATTCTCCAACAAACTTCAACCAGCAAATTCAGCACAAACTGTTGACGTCACCGACACCGACCTACAACACCCGCCTCCCCCGCTCTCTTGATTGGTCGGAGGGGATTCAACCGAGGAAACTGCAGCCACTAGGATCAGACCCAGGGGCATTTGACCTGTCTGCACTACAGCAAGTTTATAATCTATATGGAACAATGAACATTTAAAAAAAAAAAAATTACAAGGAAAACATCATATAGAGTCATTTTGAATGTCAAATGTAATCAGACATATGCAAAAAAAAAATGTATTTAAGGAAGGCTTAAATAATTTTGACCAAAGAGTGTCTGTTCTTCCTCTTCAGGCCACAGTCCTGCAGACTACAGCCTGCTGTCTGTTCAGGTAATGATTCGTCACGGAGACCGTTACCTGCTTTACTCCATCCCCAAAACCAGACGACCTGCCATCGACTGCACTCTGTCTGCAAACAGGTAATAGACCGAGACGGAGACTGAGGCCTAAACAGAGACTACAACCGAGACCTTCTTGTCGATTTTCTCGACATGTTAAAGGGGTACTATATTGTGAGGCGTAATAACACGAGGAGCACTACGTCCGCGCACTAACTCCTAAAGACTTCTCTCCCGCTCACGCTGCTTCTATTGACGGAAGTGAGCGGGAGAAAAGTCTTTAGGAGTTAGTGCGCGGACGTAGTGCTCCTCGTGTTATTACGCCTCACAATATAGTACCCCTTTTTATCCGCTGAGAAAATCGACATGTTACATTTCTGTGTTACTATACTTTGTAGTGCAACACGTCACATAACTGTATTTAGATAGGGAACACGTGGAAGAGTTTGGTAGCTTCTAACGGGAGCTGATTTGGAACTATACAGAATGTGGAAGAGGCTGCGTTTGTGCTCCGTTTGCATGACAGAGCGCACGGACTAAGACCAGACAGGTACATATCAACTAGTCTAAGGAAAGGTAAGAACATATGTCAGTATGTAAAAACGGTGGCCTATTCCTTTAAAGTTTGGACACCCCTGCTCTAGATAATAGCCTGTTATTGTTGTTGTTTGTCCGGATCGTGGCTTAAGTCGCAGTTTTAATGGCGTGCGCTCAGTGGAAAGGGCACAGAATGTTGTTGGGATTTAAACCGAACTCTGCTGCTCTGTTTCACCTTCGAAACATTGAACAAACTCTTCATGAAAACTGAGGCGGAGTCTGTGACGTAAAACTGCGAAATTCACTCCAGTCGAGTCTGTGCTGCAGCTGGAAGTTAAAATTACAGCCACAGGACTAAACCAAAACTGGCAAAAAGAGGCAAAAAATACAGTTTAACTTTAAAAAAAATGTGTGTTTGAGAATTTCTCTTAAATCCTCTGCTAATCCTTATGATTATGATTCAATATTTTTCTTTTTTGAATGTTTTATTTTTCATACATATTTTTCAATCCTTTTGTTATTATAATTTCTACTTTTTTAATGTATTATTTTTATTTGCATTATAATTGTTGCCTTGTGATGTTTTTGAATTATGACATTTTTTTCCAATCCGACCAAAGGCATTCATTCATTCATCAATCAGAGCTGAAGTTGAGCTCTATTAGTTTACATTGAGATCAATGGGAAAACTCTCTGTGTAACGTGATTTTAGTCTGGTTTAGTCTGCAGTACCACGAGGGGGCACATGGTCCTTCAGCTCCAAGCTAGTAACACCGTATCCAGACATTTTAATAGATTCATGGTATACCGTATTTTCTGGACTATAAGCCACACCTGTCCCACTTTGTAATATTAAAAAATGTCACTCAAACACGTTCATGTCTAACTGTGAGTAATAAGAGTAAGAATTGAGTCACTGACTGTTCTTAAACTTCTTAACCCTAACATCTACTGGTCTCTGTTCACTTTCATGTCTGCACAAAAAACTATTATATATTTTCACAAAGATATTATAAGTGAGGAGTTTTAAACTATACTTAATCTTACAATTTAACTGGACCTCTTTGTGAACTCATCAATTCTGTTGATTGACTGCCACTGAAAAAAACAAAAACCGCACCATTTTATAAGCCACACCTTTTTATAAGCCGCACCTTTTTATAAGCCGCACCTTTTATAAGCCGCAGCCTTCAAAAGGCAGGAAAAAAGCTGCGTTTTTTAGTCCAGAATTTCCGATATACTGTTGTAAGGAAATAGTTCCAACTTTTGTATTGAAAATGAAAATGTGTTGTATCTTTTGGTTCATAAAAGTGTGCGTTTTCGTTGGTTCTCAGCAGTTTCCCCGAGTCAGTTTTTACCTTGTAGACTCTGCTCTAGTTTGAATGTTTGTGTTTGGACCTGGGTTTAATTACAAGCCTTTGAAGCAGCACAAGTCCTGCAGCTCTGCTCTCTGCTGTGTGTTTGTATCAGTGGGGGCGGGTCCCGGCTCAAAAGTGGCCAAAATGATGTGCGCTGACATGCTGCAATACCACCCCGGACCTGTGGGGGTGGACCCGGAATAAGAATTAGCCAATGCTAACATTGGCAGACCTCTCGACAACACCTTTACAGGATGGTCCAAAAGTTGGCTCTGTTCCACATGTGTGTCAATGCTGAGGGGGGTGAATTTTTTTGGTCCACTCTAGTTTACTTGCTGTGAATTTTTGAAGTCTCTCGTTCAAATGAATGGAGCTACGCCGGCTGACGCATGCGCAGATGCGTTTTTTCACAATTTTCTTGTGGGCGGGACCACTCGCGGTCATTTTGAATAGCTCCAGTAGACCACTATTTTTGGCCCATTAGTTAGAACGGCGGAGATAGGCGTGACTAGGTCAGTTCATTTTTACAGTCTATGGTTTGTGTGTGTCTCTCTGTGTGTGTGTGTGTGTTTCTCTATCTCTTTCTGCGTGTGTGTCTCTCTTTCTCTCTGCATTTGTGTGTCTCTCTCTGCTGTGTGTGTGTCTCTCTCTGTGTGTGTGTGTGTGTGTGTCTCTCTGCGTGTGTGTGTCTCTTTCTCTCTGCATGTTTGTGTGTCTCTCTGTGTGTGTGTGTGTGTTTCTTTATCTCTTTCTGCGTGTGTGTCTCTTTCTCTCTGCATTTGTGTGTCTCTCTCTCTCTGCGTGTGTGTGTCTCTCTGCGTGTGTGTGTCTCTCTCTGCGTGTGTGTGTGTGTGTCTCTCTGCGTGTGTGTGTCTCTTTCTCTCTGCATGTTTGTGTGTCTCTCTCTCTCTCTCTGCGTGTGTGTGTGTGTGTGGACTGGCACCAGCTCTATGCCGACCCGCTGTCTCCGTCTGAGCTGCTCCTTTTCTCCTTCCAGCAAACATTACACTGACTCGAAATGCACTGAACAGAGACGACATCGACTCTGAACCCAGACCATGCTTTAGGAGAAGGAGATACACAACTTTTTCCTCAAGCGACAATGACACAACGTACACACAATGACACATTTTCCCAGCTTTTTTTGTTTTACCCTATCACATTAAAGTGCTACAGATACAATACAATACAGTACAGAAAAATAAACATCAGAAGTACAAACAAAATCAGAAAAAAAAAAGAATGAGTTAAAAAGGAAGCTTTTGAGGCCTCAAAATTGCACTAAAAATGTATTTGCGACTTTTGTATATAGAAATAAAAAGGTTTGGTTCTTGTTTTTTGTGTTCCATTTGAAAGACAAGTTAGATGTACCTTGTTAACATGTTTTGGCTGCAGAGCTGGGAATACATCCAACTTGACTTTCAAAAGAACCACAAAAAACTAGAACCAAACTTTTTTTATTTATATAGTTCCTGCTCTGCCCTAGCCTGGCCATAGCCATCCGTACACTCCACTCAATCATAATTTCACTGCATGTAGCGTCTGGGTCTGGTCCCTTTGTTAGCGAATACAATCGGTCGTATTTCGACCGGCTACTCGGAGAGCGTGTTGTAGGTCGGTGCCGGTGACGTCAAGAGTTTGCGCCGAACGGGCAGGTTGCAGTTTGGCAGTGGCGAAGAATGCGATAGTAAAGTAATCCGGTCTGGTTCTATCAAGAAATTGAAGCAGGAGTAAGAGGAATGTTTAGCAAATGTAATCGCTGGTTAAGATTGTGGCGCTACTCCCCACGGGCTCCGTTAGCGACAAAGGAGATGGCTAGGCTAAATGCTAACAACACACTCGGGCGCATTACATACGTCACGGTAAACTCAGATCCAATTGTTTCAATCTGCAAAAGGGGTTAACCCCTCCCACCTGTTCACGGAGCTCAATGGAGAAAATCCAGGCCTCAGTACGAAATGAAATTTGTACTAAGGTGTGGTACAACCAAGCTAGCTCTGCCCCATTCCGGTCTCAGTTTCCCCCTCGTGGCCCGGGACCACCAGGCTTCCGCTCACTCCGCTCACTCCTCTCTCGTCGTTCCTAATCCTTCGCTGTGATATAATCCGTGCTTAATGTAATTGCTCTCTGAAGTCTTTTGGTTAGTGACAATCCGCCTAATACGCAGACAGACCGACTGGCTTTGGGTCGCCTCTATTGTTCTTCCCAGACTCTGCTCCAGGCCAGTTTTGATCGCAACGCTTCTAAAAGTCTCCAGAGCAGCGTGGTCTGCGGTGGAGCGAGTTGGGATTTAATAACTGTGGATTTGATGCAGAAGCAGTTTGTAAAAAAACTCAGGGATTTCTGTTTGATGTTTAATTCTTCTTATTTCATGGTCCTGCACCTTTAAGACAGTCACTGTGTACTTCTTTAGTTTACTGTGTATTTGTAATTACATCTTTTCTTTGACTATGACAATAAGTGAAAAGATTACGGCTTTATTCTCGTATCTCGTATGGAAATAAACAGGATTTAACTGGGAATTTTCAAGATCGAAGGTTGGATCGAAGGAGAACTGAAATATCGTTGAGGAAAGAATATTTTACCACAATCTTGATTAAAACGTGGAATAAACGTTGATGAAATTATGAGGAATTTGTTCAATCAGATTACATTACAATGAATTCCCAGTTATTGAATATTCCCAAAACTCCCCATTTGAACTTCCCATGGAAGTGTACAGACTTTGTGCCACCCTTTTCTGCACCACTATTTTTAACATCTACAATCTTTGAAATGTTAGTTTTGGTTAACTCAGTGAAAACAATATCTCATATTTTCTAAATTCCTCTCTGGACTAGTCTTGTATCGCTATGGCAACAAGGCAGCCCTTCCCTCTTTAATGTATTTAAAAATCTGTAGCACAGATTTATCGAATAGAAATTTTAATCTCAGTGGGATTGTGGCTGCTCTTTTTTCATTTCCCTCTTTCCCGTGTGCAGTCTCTGTCTGTCTGTGTTTGGAACTGCTGAGTGTATTTACCTTTGATAATTGGTACGTCCCAATGCAACAAACTGTTTGATGTATTTATATCCTTCGCCATATTCAAGCCGCCCACCCGCCTCATATTGACTCAAGGCACTGCTGCTGGAGTGTAGGCCGAGGCTGACATCTGCTGGTGGAAATGCAGAATTGCACACATATCAGAAAGTTCAAATGATCAATGCTTTTCAAAATGTCTTTGAAAATAAGGAAAGGAAACATAATCTTTGGTTTGTCCCTTCAGCCATAGCTGCTCTTAACAGTCTGTAATAGTGTCCATGTCTCTGTATTCAGTGTATTGCATTATATTGTATACGTTTTGTGTTTTTGTCTTCTGTGTTCTATGTATGGAAATGACCAAAAAAAAGTGTAATTACTAACTTAACAAACTGTAACAACTTGGCCGATGTTTTTCCTTTTTGTTATTTATATTTATATATTTCTTGGTGGCTTCAGTTTTCCGTTTTTCTTCAGCTTCCTGCAGTCGCTGTACATTCTCAAACGTCCAATGAACACTGATCTTTTTCTGATACGGTCAACTATTGCCGCACCCTAACCCTAACCCATCTTTTTTGCTTCTTCTACTGAGGAAAGTGCACAGACGCCCTCTACTGGTGTCTCTTCACACATCAGTCAATGTTTTTTAATTTGCCGGTGGTCGTTAAGAAGGCAAACATCGACCGATATCGATGTTCTGCCGATGCATCAGTGAATCCAAACACCAAAGTCTATACCACCAAAAAGCTACAGAGAGTTCAGGCTAACAGCGGTTGGGACGAGGGATTTTAGGGACTATTTAGTTTTACAATATGATGATAAATACAAATACAACGTCAGCTCTTGTTCTAAAGCTGAATCTTTGAGGTCGTCTTTCCTTCTCCACAGACGGCCTTCCCACCCTCTGCTCTCCGGGTTCATCACTCACATGGGGAGAGGGGGCCGTGGACACTGGGACTCCCCCCTGAGCTCAGTGCCTCGTCTGCCCAACCACAGCTCCTGCGACATCGGAGAACTCACACAGACTGGTACGACCAGTGGCTTCTACCATTGTCACCATTTCTGTCAGTATTGTGTACTATTGTCAACATGTCCCTGTGTATGCAGAATCTCCAGGTTTCTTTCCACTACTACCTCAATAAAGCCTCACGTTTTTAATTGTAGATTTTCTTTAGATGGTGGATGTATAAACTCTTATTTTACCAATTGGTTTTTTTGTAACAAAAGACCTGAATATTTAAGCTGCGTAGCACAAGACCAGACCTCGATGAAGACCTGAGAGGGTCCAAACGCATCACAATGTCCCTTCACCAATGAAGGAATTTTAAAACCTTTTTCTCTAAGGTTTCAGATTCCTTTTATTCTCTCTTTCTGGTCTCTCTCTCTCTGATCTCTCTCTGGTCTCTCTCTCTCTGGTCTCTAGTCTCTCTCTGCTCTCTCTCTCTCTGGTCTCTCTGGTCTCTTTCTCAAGTCTCTCAAGTCTCTGCTGTCTGTCTCTAGTCTCTCTCTGGTGTCTCTCTCTGGTCTCTCAAGTCTCTCTGCTCTCTCTCTCTCTCTGGTCTCTTTCTGGTCTCTTTCTCAAGTCTCTCTGGTCTCTCTCTAGTCTCTCTCTAGTCTCTCTCTCTCTGGTCTCTCTCTAGTCTCTCTCTGGTCTCTCTGGTCTCTCTAGTCTCTCTAGTCTCTCTAGTCTCTCTCTGGTCTCTTTATCAAGTCTCTCTAGTCTCTCTGGTCTCTCTAGTCTCTCTCTCTGGTCTCTCTCTGCTCTCTCTCTCTGGTCTATGTTTTTATCCCTGCAAGCACACATTCCTCTTGTATTTTCATTGATTTCTTTGTCTATTTGAACAGTAATAATAACTCTACTCCTCTTAACCCTAATCTTAATCCTAATCTCTGACTTCAGGTGTGGTGCAGCATCTCCGTAACGGCCAGCTCCTTCGTGACGCCTACAAACATCACACCCTCCTCGCCGAGGACTGGTCTCCTCGCCAGGTGTGGCTGGAGACAACCGGGAAGAGCCGCACCCTGCAGAGCGGCCTGTCCCTGCTCTACGGCCTCCTCCCAGACTTTGACTGGACCAAACTCACTGTGCGTCACCAGTGGAGCACCTTATTCTGTGGCGGCGCCTGCGACTGCCCGGCCAGAAACAAATACTTGGACGAAGAGCAGAGAAGGCAGTACCGTCTCCGGGTCGCGAACACGGAACTGGAGAGGACTTACACAGAAATGGCGCGGACTTTAGGGATTCCCACGCGGCAATTACGGGCGGCTAACCCCATAGACTCGCTGCTGTGCCATCTCTGCCACGGTATCGCCTTCCCGTGCGTCCCGGCAACCGACTCAGGCAGCGGTGGGTGTCTGACCATGTCTCAGTTCGCCGTGATTCGTAAACAGCAGCTGGAAGACGAGGTGGAACGGCGGAAAGCGGGGCTGTACCGGAAGTACGCCATCTTAGCCATGTTCCCGTACTTGAATCGCACGGCGGCGAAGATGGAGAGGGTGGCGCGGGCGAACGAGCCGGGGAGGCAGACGCGACCCGGCGGCGAAGAGGTTTTCTCGCTGTCCTCGGCTCACGATGTAACCATGGCGCCACTGCTTAGCGCGCTGGGGTTGGAGCAGGCACGGTTTCCGAGATTCGCAGCAAGGGTTGTGTTCGAGCTGTGGAAGAGTCCGGGAACGACGAGCAAGAAGAAAGGAGCAAAGGCGAAAGACGGGGAGGTTTTTGTGCGGGTTTTGTACAACGGGGTAGACGTGACCTTTCGCACGGCGTTCTGCAAGACGCACGTCCGTAAGGGCAACCAGCCGCTGTGCCCGCTCGCCACGTTCCTGTCGTTTGTGCGCAGAGACATGTTCGCTTTGGTGAACGCCACGTCGTACCAGGAGGCGTGCTACAGACGCCCGGCGTGAGCTCAAAACACAGCTAGTTTATTATGCATTTTCGGTGTCCATTTTGTGGGTTTTGGTGTGATTTTGAGCAGTGGTCTCCGACCTTTTTGAGCCCTGGCACCGTTTTCATTGTAGACAGGGCAAGTTTATTAATATGGCACAGTTCAAATCAAATCAAATCAATCACATTTTATTCATACAAACCAGACTCCAGATTTTCCCAACAGTTTAGGAAAGAACCACCCTCTCCACTTTAACAAAACTCTCTGCTCTTATTGGACGAGCACGTATCACCAGAATGATTGACAAGTGGGAGGACCAATAGAAGTAGAAAATCCTCCTACGGTATATACCTTTAGGACTGGACTCACTTGCGGACATGGGTCGGCTCTGGTCGGCTCCTGCTTGGTTAGAATTCAAACCTACAGCAACACCAACCCTTTGAGGACTGGTTTGACACCCCTGATTCAGACTGAAGGGGTGGGGAGATCTAGTTCAGCCATCTTGTGCTAAACATATCTAGATCAGGGCATTTTTCTCCAACACATTACTAAAGCACGAGCACAAATTTCATATAAAGACGCACTTTTTACAGTTTGTACTGTGTCCGCCTTCCCTGAATCCAGTTCCTGTGTTTTTCTAATACTAACTACAGTTTATTCCATGACCTCTTTTGTAAAATGGCAATAATACAGATACGTTAATATAGAGTTTAATTTGTACATGTGGAAGGAAAGTCGAATGGCACTAGACCACTTTAATCTCACATTCCCTTTTTCCATGTCTTGACTTTTTTCCCGAAAGAACAAAAGGGATTTTCCTTGTGCTTGAAACGCTTCCGGACCAATCCTGGAAATATTTGATTCACGTTCTTTACAAAAAATAATATACCTCTGAAGCCAACGTATCTTTTGAGATGTTTGTGATACATTACTAGGAACAACTTGTGTTTTTAACTTCCTCATTTCATTCCATTTTCTACGAATCCGTTGAGGTTTGTTTAATCAAATTTGGGATTAGAGGCTTGTTTTGGCTTCTCCTTGAAATGCACATGACAATAAAATTATTAATTCTCTTCTACAGTTGTCTTTTTTTCTCTTATTCCACTTAATTTGACCTTTTACAGTCTGCTTTTCTAACGTCAGTATTGAACCTCTTTGGCGACACCTGGTGGTCATAAAATATACTTAAAGAATGGCGCTGTTAAACCGATAGATACATATTTTAGTCCCTCTCGATCCTGGTTCTGGTTCTATCCAGGCCGAGCTGGTTCTTAAGAGTGGCTAGTGCTGCTGGAGGCCATGGTTACCAAGGAATTTCCCCTGTTACTGTTTGTTGTGGGTAGGATGCTTGGATACGATACCACACTTGTATATTGTAATAATTTTAAGAAATGTTTTGACGATTTTTTTCTGCATTCCTTCACCTATTTCACTCCTGTTTTACAACTTATTTGCAGCATGAGTCAAAGCAAATTCTTAGTGACTTCCTGTTTCAATGGCAAAAAGAATAATTCTTTCTATGTAGAGCCTGGGTGGGCTGGTGAAAACGGGGCTTTTTTTGTCACCCACTGTCTGCTCCGGAGTAGCTTCAGTGACAGACTTATCCACCCTCGCTGTGTGAAGGAGAGGTCCCGCAGGTCTTTCCTTCCTGCTGCTCTCAGACTGTACAACCAGAACTGCTGATGCCTGTACATGCAATTTATCTGTAATTAGTCAATACTGCAATCATGTACTGAGACTAGGTCAGGTTTACTTGTATGTGAAAAGTACCTGTAGTATTCACAAACAAAAGCTGAGAGAGAGCAGCATCAGAGAGCACTCCTTGTCGAATGGAGGTTTTTACAGGACTCGGGAGATGGCTTATCATGGATCAAGTTTATTTACCAGCTTCTTCATTGTTGCTCTGGGATTTAAACCCCTGTGCTCCTGCAGTGAAGAAGTCTCAGGTTCCACTTTACATGATTCATTAAGAAAATCACTATTAAATGTACTATTGTTAGTTAGATAGAAATGTATAGAATGTTTGTACTTATGTGTTTGTCTGGATGGATTTGTCCTTCGGGGGTCACTAAAGTATCTGTCTATATATAGCCAAAGATATATTATGATAATTTTGAGTCAATGTTGAATCCCAGAAAGACTAGCGACCTCTTGTGGAATCTGGAAAGACTCTTTATATGTCAACAACACGCTGCAGCATTTTGATAGTGGAAAACTGGAGAAAAGGGAATATATATTTACGGCAAACTGAGCAAAAACGACATACTTAAAGATCCCTTATTTGTAGCAGAAATGTCAGTGTTGCATCAGCAGTTTAAGAACAGTAGAATGAGGAGGACACAGCACAAGATAACTGCACTAAAATGGAATAAAATATAACTTTAGCATAATAAAGAAGCAAGTATCAAATCTCTAGCTTTAGCCTAATAAATACATTTCCTTCCACATAGTTGTGTGAAAACACACACATGTCTTGGATGTTGTTGAAAGGTAAAATTTGCCAAGGAGATAAGTCTAAAAACACGAGGAGTGAATTTTTTTGTTACCTTTCCTGAAATCCCCCCTGGATCATCTCTGTCCTTAGACCCTCCAAACGCAACCTATTGATAAAATATAAAACCAAACTAAAACATGGTAATATAAGCATAAAACTATTTCAGGAGTTTTATGTTAATGTATTATTCTAGCACAGATATGCAACTGTTTTTAGGTGCCATTTTATTCTACAGCCGTTAGCATTGGACCAAAACCGTTGTGATTCGCCATTGTGATTTGAACTAAATGAATCCAAACCGATCCCAGGAATACCAAGTTCATTTAATTAACAAAAAATTAAAATCCACTATTGTGGCGGGGACATGGGAGGAATTAAGTATTTTCTCAATACCTTTGGACACATGTTTCCAACCTTTTCTAACATTCTCACGTCTGTCCAGTAGAGGGCGCTCGGGCTCCGTGTGTTTGCTGTTGCAGCCTGCACCACCTGCTTCCATCAGTCACTTTGTCTTCAGAGCTTCATGGTCAAGTGAGAACAAAGTCAAAAACTATAAATGTGATTCTTAAAGTTTCAGCCAAACTCACAGTCTTCACGCGTGCCTTTCTCTCTCCTTTGTATTTGACGTTTATGGAGCTTTGAACTCATGGAACAACCTTTTGTATTTTACTTCCTCATTTCATTCCATACATTTTTACGAATCCATTGAGTTTAGTTTTTTTGCTTTATATGGAGAATTGAGGCTCCTCCTTAAATGGCCTCAATAAACTAATAAATTCTCTTATTGGTTTTGAGGTCTGATTTCTTATACTTTAACAGTTTTTAAAAATGCACTTTTTTACTAGTGTCAAGAAGGCACCTAAAAAATAAAATGTATTAAGATTATTTTTACCTCTGGTGATTTGTGATCATTTTGAAGGATGACTGAGATCTAAGCCCCGTGTCTGTGGTTTGTAAAGTAATGACCTCCTGTATCCCGTGCGAATAGGGCTGAAGAAGATGTGGAACTTTGTGTTTAATGTGGATTGGCAAGTAAGACTTTTGACAGTTACCATAGTTACAGAAATCTGTAAGAACTGCCCTCCATCACAGCATTAAACTACATTAGATCACTGTATTTGTCAAGTCAAAATGAATTCATCATTAATACAGAGTTTATTAAAGGTGCAGTCAGTGATTCTTTTCAGACGGATGTTTTGAATATTGTGGTAAAACGGGCCTAAACCCTAAAAGTATCAAGTTATCATGTGTTTTCAAATAGTAATGGAATTGACCAGATGCCTATAGTCTACAAAAATGTATAAATAAAATTTTGGAGCGGACCGATAAAAATAAAACAATGGGATTCGTTCATCCCCAACGAACCAATGGGATGTGTTTACCCCCTTCACCCTCTTCTTGTTTCTTACGAGTGCACCGGAGTTAACGGATTTTCTAAAACCTAAAGTGGCTGAACAGAAAATGCCAATTTCAGGTTTGCATATTTATTGGGGCGACAGTAGCTCAGTTGGTAGAGCACTGGTCTTTGGACCCAATGGTCGTGGGTGAAAGACCAAGGTGATGATCCATGATCTTGGATCATGGAGAAGCCATCATTCGGTGGACTCACCACAAGCAGAGGGTCAGAGGGACTGGTGGATTGAGACCCGGGGGCAGCTCTCATTGCGACCCCTCCGACCCAGAATTTGATTAACAAAGGGGTGGAAAATGACATGACATATAGGTTTCACATTTTAAGTTCCAGGACTCAACCAGACCATTCCAGACTGAACCACATTGAACCAGACCAAACCGGAGTCAACCAGGGCTGGACCATGACTGAGCTTTACCTGAAGATAGCTCCTCCTCTGGTACCATGGTCTCCAGTCCAGCTTGAGAAAACAACACGAAAACTATGAAAGATAACAGCGTAAAGAATTTCAACTTCTACTTTAAATATTATGGCACTTTTTCTTTCTGCATTTTTGTTTTTCTGAGATGAAGTCTTTCGTGACCCGTGAAATAAAGGCGAGAGCAAAGTCATGTGCATTAGATTATTACATCTCCCGAAAATATCTCTTTTTACCTCTTTACAATGCCTGCTTCCCATATAGAATCATGCATTTTAAAACAGCCACACTCACACACACACACATACACACACACACACGGGGCGCGGCGGAGACAGCAGGCGGACCGAACGTTCTCGTGGCGTGATGATGGAGGGCAGATGATTGACAGGTCGACAGCAGAGGAGGCTGCGGTCCCTGCGTCTGGAACCGTCTAATGAATACAACTGTCATATAGGAAGAATAGGAGCGTATAGTGTGTGTGTGTGTGTGTGTGTGTGTGTGGGCTGAGGCTGCGGTTTTACGTTTGACAGATTCAACTTATGGAGCCTCTTTCCAAAGCCACAGATTACAGGAGTTCTAATTGGATGGGATTTCAGGAAGAATGGAATGGAAGCTCAGGGAGTCAAGAAAGGTCATGATGCTAATGATGCTAATGCACAGGAGCAACGACGATCCAAACTTTCCACATTCATA